GAGTACTCAAGGAGCTGACTGAGCCATTAGTGATTATCTTTGAAAACTTGTGGAAGAAGGGAAAGATTCCAGAGAACTGGAAGAGGATAAATATACTGCCAACCTATAAAAAGGGGAATAAGGACAACCCAGAGAATTACAGACCAGTCAAGCTTAATTTCAGTACCTGGAAAAATAATATAGCAAATAATTCAGCAATCAATGTGCAAACACCTAGAAGATAATAAGGTGATAACTAACAGTCAGCATGGATTTGTCATGAACAAATCATGTGAAACCAACTTAACAGTTTTCTTTGACAGGGTTCACTTGTACAGTTTGCAGATGATACCAATCTGTGAGGGAGCAAAAGGGTGGGGAGGGTTTGCAAGTACTTTGGAGGATAGGATTAAAATTCAAAATTCAGACAAACTGGAGAAATGTTCTGAAGTAAATAGGATGAAATTCAATAAGGACCAAAGCAAAGAACTACACTTAGCTCTGGTCTACACTGGAGGGGTGGGGGGATCGATCTAAGTTACGCAACTTCAGCTACATGAATAACGTAGCTGAAGTCGATGTACTTAGATCAACTTACTGTGGTGTCTCCACCGTGGTGAGTCGACTGCTGCTGCTCCCCTGTCGACTCTGCCTGCGCCTCTCGCGGCACTGGAGTACAGGAGTCAATGGGAGAGCGCTCAGGGGTCGATTTATCGCGTCTAGACTAGACACGATAAATCATTCCCTGCTGGATCGATGGCTGCCCACTGATCCGGCGGGTAGTGAAGACATACCCTTAGGAAGGAACAATCAGTTGCACATATACAAAATGGGAAATGACTACCTAGGAAAGAGTACTGCAGAAAGGGATCTGGGGGTCATAATGGATCACAAGCTAAATATGAGTCAACAGTGTAACACTGTTACAAAAAAAGTGAACATCATTCTCGATCTATTAGCAGGAATATTGAAAGCCAGACATATGAAGTTATTCTTCCACTCTACTCCACGCTGATAAGGCCTCAGGTGGGGTATTGCATCCAGTTCTGGGCGCTACATTTCAGAAAAGATGTGGACAAATTGGAAAAAGTCCAGAGGAGAGCAACAAAAATTATTAAAGGTCCAGAAAACATGACCTATGAGGCAAGACTGAAAAAAACAGATTTGTTTAGCTTGAAGAAGAGAAGACTGAGGGGGGATATGATAACAGTTTCAAGTGCATAAAAAGTTGTTACAAGGAGGAAGGGGAAAAGTAGTTCTCCTTAACCCCCGAGGATAGGGAAAGAAGCAAAGGGCTTAAATTGCAGCAAGGAACATTTAGGTTGGACATTAGGAAAAACTTCCTAACTGTCAGAGTAGTTAAGCATTAAAACAAATTGTGTAGGGATGTTGTGGAATCTCTGTCATTAGAGGTTTTTAAGAACAAGTTAGACAAATACCTTTCAGGAACGGTCTAGTTATTACATAGTCCTGCCTTGAGTGCAGGGATTGGACTAGATGACCTACTAAGGTCCCTTCCAGTCCTAAACTTCTATGATACTATAATCTATTAGCTTTCAAAAGGCCTTTGACAAAGTCTTGCAGAAGACACTACTAAAGTAACTAAGTAGTCATAAGATGAGAGACAAAGTATTGTCAAGGATCAAAATCTGCCTAAGAGACAGAAAACAAAGGAGCAGGAATAAATGGTGAGCTTTCATCACAGCAAAAGCTTAACAGCTGGGTGCCTCAAGGTTCTGTACTAGTGTTGGTGTTGTTTAATATCTTTACTAACAATCTGAAAAGTGGATCAGGAAGTAAGGTGGCTACATTTTCAGATGACAAATTATTTTGAGTATTCAAGCCCAGGGAAAACTGAGGAACTTCAGAGGGACTTAAACAAGCTAGGTGAATGGATAACATGATAACAGATGAAGTACACTGTTGATAAATGCAAAATAACGCACAATGGAGGGAAATTTTTAAATATTCATACACCTTACAGGGATCTAAATTAACTGTATCAACTCAGGAAAGGGACCTCACTGGGGCATCACTGAACAGTTCAAAGAGGACCTCTGCATAATGTGCAGTTGCTGTCAAAAAACCAAAATGTTAGGATGCATAAAGAATGGGAGAGAAAATAATAAGGAAAACATTATAATCCCATTATATAAATCAATGGTTTCCCCTCATCTGGAGTACTATGTGCAGTAGTGGTTACCCCCACCTCAAAAATTATATTGCAGAATTTGAAGCGGTCAGAGATGACTGGTGAGAATGCATAGGGGCATGGGAAACCTCTCACCTGAAAGAAAGACTAGGAATGATTACCTTAGGAAGTAGGTAAATGAGAGGGGAAGTGACAGAAATAGAAAATAATATGTGGTGCACTTAGAGAAAGTAGATTGGAAGCTAGACACCTATTTGGATAACAAGAATATCCAGAATAATAAATAACAAAAAAAATTATAAGGGATATAAAATCTTGTGCTTCAGGAATTAAGCCAATTTCTAACAACGTAGGGTAAGGACAAGACTTCCATAAGGAGCAGATTATCCCATATCTACCTACTGTAAAGTTTCTTGCACCTTCCTTTGAAGCATGTGGTGGTGGCTACCGTCAGAGGCAGGATACTGGACCATAGGTCTGATCTAGTGTGGCAATTCATATATTCCTAGCAGGGACAATGGTCCAAAATATGGTTTCATTATTTCCTTTATTACCCACAGAAGAGACTAGGCAGCAGAACTAAACCACTGAAGTTTTTCCCATTACTTGATGATTTAGAAGAGATAAAGGAAGTGAGCATTTATGGTTTTGTGGGCATGTGCAGGAAGGGTTAGAAATACAACTTAACAGCTCAGAGCTAAAATTCATACCCTACTGTTAACCATCTTTCAGTCACGCCTGTAAAGGCAGGTGATATCGGAACTAAAATTTCCCAAACATCAATTAGGACTAAAAATAGATGCTATACCACCTGATGCCTGTGCATTTCATATGATTGCACTAAGCCAGGTGGATTTGCAGTAACCATAGCATTTTACATACACCTGTAGATCAATGACTGAAAATAAATGCAATTAATATTTATATGCATTTTAAAAATGTTTTGAAGTTAGTTAATGTACTTTTTTAATAAAAAGCAAGACAGTGATAGACACTGAAGATAAAAGCTACATTGTCAAAACTTGAAAAAGATCCCTATTAGTAATTATATTTGTTGTCCTGAGGTGTTTCATATTAATTTGAACCTGCCTGTGGAACCATAATAATTAAATGTAGAAAGATTCCTACTAAATATATCCACTTAAGCCAATGGAAAATAATTCCCCCACAAGACCCCTCAAATGCTCCAACTGATTAGTGTCACACTGTCACATCTTGGAGAAAACTCCTCAATGTCTAACAGAATTAAGAGTCATTTGCAAAATGATAAAGTAATTTTCCTGAATAAAGGTCTGATATTAGTGAGGCAGCTTCCATTTCCCCCTGTTCAAAAGTCCAAGTAGAGTTAGGATACAAAAAAACTTGGAACCTCTTCTCACACGGGTAGACTACACTTCATCATCATTCCTCGGCTATCCCAATGCTGGAATGATAAATAGTTCTTGTCTAAATCTAAAACCAGGCAAGATGGAAGTAGAATTTCAAATAGGTAATGAAAATGACTATGAAAAAATAGCTAACATTCCATCACCCTCACTAGAGGGCATCTGTCCCACTGTCATCAGAGTGGCTTGCAGCCAAGAGGGCTTTCTGGACTCTTCACTGACAATAGACACCCAAATAGCAAAAGCACCAAAAAAAAAGGGGGCCTTTTTCTACCTTCCCCTAGCCAAAAGATCTCATACTATCCTGCCAGATGTGGATTTGATCCTCCAAACTTCGTTACTGAAAATCACTGTTTCTGGGAAGGAAATTATAAATGTTAAAGAAACTTTAGTCAGTGCAACAACCTGACCTCCAACCTACGCTGATGAAAGCACACTTGCTCTGATCACTTTAGCTACTCATCAAACACCAGAATGAGCAAGCCCCTGGAGTCTTCATCAGCGAAGCTTTCATCAGGCTGGCACTGGACTTCCTTGGAAATTGACTCTTACTATGTGACCATGATCACCTGTGACAACTAAAATCCTCAGGAAAAATGGAAATGTTAATAGTTAGATTGAGAGTGGGAGTTTCTGATAAGAAGATGAAATCCTAGTACCATTGAAGTCAATGGTAAACTTTCCATTGATTTCATGGAGCAGGATGTCACCCAGAGTCTTCTTGGCAGCTAGTCCTTGGCTATAAAACACCTTTCCATGAGAGTTAAGAATGTTCACAAAACCTCACCACTTCTGGGGGGAAGAGGGAGAGGAATGGACATGACAGACTGATCTGTATCACCTATTTCCCATAATGAAATAATTTAAAACCATTACAAAACATTCAGCCTTCCCTTAGAAGCGTGAAAAGATGACAAAATTCTAGGTTTTTGTGTAAAACGCCGATATGGATTTATATAAACTTGTAATCCCCTCATTCATATGCCACTGTATAAATAAGGTATAAATACAAAGACAGCGAGGTTGAAACCAACTAAGAATAATATGGTCAGCAAAAAAACCAATTATTTTAATACAGTTGAGGATCAGAATTATCAATTTAAGAATAGGGAATTAAAATAACATTTAGTGATAATCATGCAGGAAATTTAACTTAAAAGAATATGACACATTAAAAGATAAACTACAGCATAAAATAAAGATGACTGATAATAAGGACAGTTGATATTCACCTTCACTATTTTTTAATGTTCTGTATCAGCATTTTATGAAACAAATGTTAAATATACTAAAAGATGAGCATGAAACTGGGTTCAGAATTATCAACAGTTAATATAATGTTGTCATGACACTACAGGCTATTTCATCAATACACTTCCAAATAAAGGAAAATGAGAAACAATTTTATTGAGAACATTCTTGATTGTCTTAGTTAGTGTCTTTTTATAGCTTTCAAGGCTACAGCTATGATAATGGCACCATACCGTGAAGCTGTTGTTGACATTTTTTGTGCTCGATTCAGCTACACTGGCATCTGACAGGTCAACTTCATCAAATATTAGAGACTGTGAACAGAAAATAACACAAACACATTAAATACCACTTTTAAGCACACTTACCCTACTGCACTTTCACTTCCACATTACTGTTTTAGGAATCAAATTAAATAAGTAGAAAAATTACTAAGCAGATAAATCTTTCTAATTTCGCCTTTCAAAGGGAGCCATGTAACAATCTGATCAGTAGGAAAATTCAAAAACATAAGCGGGCTGAAAATGAATTTTATCCCAGTCAAAAAAGTAATCTTCACTTTAAAAATACCTTTGAGAAAATGTACAATATTATATTCAGCCTTGAAGGGCCACTTAAGGAAGCCAAAATAGAATCAAAGAAGATAAATACATATAACAGTCTGTCAGAGTTTACTTTAAACATCGCAGCCTGTTAGCCAGTGTTAAGTCTGCTGGGAAAGGGTTAAATGGGTTCTGTTGGCTCACTGAGACTCATTGATGAAGAGTAAAACAATTCCAGTCATGTGTCTCTTCTCCCTTCCTGTGGGGAAAAAGAGTAAAAAAGAAAGACACCCCCCCCTCCCCCCTGGTCATCCCACACACACACACTCAACTCATGGCAGGGAGTTGAAACTAAGCATGGTCCTGCAGTTGAGGCAGGTATGACTGGGATGGCAGGGGATCTGCATTTAATTCCCAGATCTGCCTCAGTTTCCCACCTGTAATATGTGGATGATCCTGCCATTTTCCAACCTCTTGTCTGTCTTGTTAATTAAGGTTGTCAGTTCTTCAGGGCAGCAACTGTACAAGTGTGCCTAGCGTGGGTGACTCATGCCCTCATTCTTACCTATGTGACCTTTGATACCTTTGACGCACCATGCAGCTGAGTCGCAGGGGAGATTGTAGTGCATCATGGGAAATGTAGTGGGTCAATCAATAGGAGCAAATGAGGGCCTGAAGCACCTGAACTACCACTCCCAGAAGGCACCATGGGGGCTCATGAAGAAGCAGCTTAATGATAAACTGATTTGAAATTAAATGTTTCCGTTCAGTTCAACAAACTGAAACATTTCCATCTGGATCAAACTGACCTGAAATGAAATATTTCATTTAGATTTTCCCTGACAGGAAGGAGAGTAATTTCTGAAAATGAAATTTTCCCACTGAAAATTTCAGTTTTTCAGAACTTCATTTTCCATTGAAAATTCATTTCAAGGGATAACTCCTGACTAGCAGTATTTAGCATAATCATAAAAACTTGAACTTTGAGGTTTAACATTTGAACAATATCCCTCCAATGTTTTTTTCCTTTTTAAAATTTATTTTCCTAAGCAAAAAAAACAGAAATCAGCTTATTAACGTTATTTGACTAATTTGTTTAAAAAGGGTAAAAGAACAGAAACAAACCACAATACAGAAAACTCAGAGGTGTATGTAACATGTCTTCTTTTGCAAGTTAATTTTGTATACTAATCTTTATAAATAGCAAATTGACTGTGAAAACAATCACTGTTATTTTAAAATTGATGGTCTAATTTTAATAAACCTAAGAAACAATTGGTGTTACAAGCATAAGGCATTCGCTCTTAGTATTATACATCCTTACCTTTGAATCCTTGGCATAGTAAAGGGTACGGCCTCGAAGTTTGAAATAACGTTTTTTCCACCGCTGAAAAGAACTTGTTTGCTTCAATAGTAACCCTTCCTTTATACTTGTCTGAAAACAAGAAAAAAATATTTAAATACATCAGACCCAGTAAAAATATCCAAGTATCTAAATATACTATATAAAAAAAAATTCTTAGACCCTTGTAAACAATTTTCTGTTCTGCACAAAGATATTCATTGTTTTTTATTTGTATTCACGCATGAGATGATGATTGATTCTATCATTTGACAATCAAACTATGCACAATTATTTTTAACAATGCGAATACTGGCAAAAGGTTACTTCTGTGTACGCATTCAAAAAGCAGTAGAGATATACACTGAAAATGCCAATAATTATTCTGGAGATTAAATTGCTATTTAATTGTATTACTTCTATAATTCCAAAAGCACAATATTGTAGTGAGCAATGATTGGCAGTTGCACAATTCTGAAAAAAAATATTAGTTATCTATGCCATACAAGCTCATGCAGATCGTACTCTGTGGCATCTGTACTCTTGCTACCCTTTTTTTCTAACTATTAAAATGGAAAAGAAGACAAACTCAAACTTGGAAGAATAGTGTCAAGAGCACAATAAATTAATGTGTTTAGAAATGTTTTGGTAGTATCTGTGGGCCTCATCACACCATTGATTTTTAAGCACTCCCCATGTACTTTTCATAGGAGGAGTTTTTATAACTCAATGGTATAATATAGTTCTGCACAGTGGCCTATATCACGGAGTGTCTTAAATACCCAATTTTCTCTTTTGAACTACACTATTAAAAGGGAAAAGCAGATACATATGGATCTGGATTCTCTGCTCTAAAGCAGCCTCTGAAGCATGGTATTTCCATTTTGTATTATGTCATGATGCAGATGTCATTGTACAGTGCAATTTCTAGACAACATGATGCAAAGGTCACTTATAAGTTGATCTGGACCTCTTATAAGCTTAATCAAACCCTGAAAAAAGGGCATGACACCATCTTCTTTCAATGGATGTCAATTCTTCTTAACTTTAACATAATACATTCACAGTAAAAAGGAAAATATACCTTTTTGTTTCACTATTTCACATTTATGAACGTGAAATAATTGTTAAATATATCCATAGCATGGCTACTATACTAAATTCTTTAATGGTTTTTTCCTACTAAAATGCCCCCAAATATACCTAACAAAGATAAAATATTTTCATGTGATGTAATGGATTTTATTTGTTAGCAATTCAGTCAACAGTAGTCATAGGCACACACACCAGTTTTGGTTTTGTTTGTTATAGCCATACTGTACTTGTGTTTTGTTTCCCTCTTTGAAATTTTCATGGTGCACATGAATTAGGTGCATATGATTTATGTATATGCAAAAGTGAGAATAATATACAAATCAGTTCCATACAATACAATTTCTGTATTCAATGGTCCTAATTCCCTCTTCAAATATATAATGGGCATTGGCATTTATCTTCATATTATCCTGAAAGTGGAAACATCTAAATGTATGTTATGATATACATGGCATACATTATGGGAAGATCAGAATGTACACTAAAAACCTTCTTCATGAAGGAGATACATGAATTTAAAGTCTATAGAAAGAACATAAATCTGTTGGCCTATTTTTCTAGACTTTAAAAAACACAGTTTTCCTGAAGATTAAATTAATTCCTTCATGCCATTTCTACAAAAACAGGCATTATCACGGCTTTCTCTCTCCCTTTTAGAGCACTAATAATATTCCACAAACACTCCAACCTGTTTAATGTAACCAGGGGATTGTTGTCCATTAAATGGCTCTGGAATCGTAAACGGCTTATGAATCAAAACTCTATGACAAATCTTTTAAACTACCATTTTAAACTATGAGAAAGTTGTTTTCTCAACCAAAAAAACCCTTCTGAAGTTGGAGGTGAAAACACATTTAACTGCTATAGCATATTTTTCCATATGAAGCTATTACAACAGATCCTGATAATAAATATTCTTATTAATTTAAAATAGCCAGGTAATGTACTTTCATTCGTGTACAGTGTAAATGCTTTCATCAACAGACATACTCTACTGAGGGCAGAGCACTTCCATCATCCAGTTCCACTGGTACAGAATCCAACCCTTGCTACAGAACTTTGCTCCAAGGATGCAATAAGCCCAGCCCCCACTTCATTGGCAAAAGGTGATAAATAAAGCTATGATTTAGTAATGGAGGTCACAGAAGTCAAAGGCCTCCGTGACTTCAGCCAGTGCAAGCTGGGAGCTGCAGGGTCCCCTGCTGCCTGCGGAGGCAGGAAGCTGTGGGGTACCCATGCCACCGCAGGCAGCAGGAGCCCCCCACCACTCCCGGCTACCACGGGCAGCAGGTGGAAGCCCTGCAGCTCCGAACCACCAGCGGAGGGGGACCCTGGAGCTTCGAGCCTGCCCACTGCTACCCAGGCTCCCCATTTTGTCATGGATATTTTTAGTAAAAGTCAAAGACAGGTCACGAGCTTCTGTGAATTTTTCATTATTGCCCATGACTTTTATTAAAAATATTTGTGACAAAATCTTAGCCTTAACGATAGGTCGCTCCGGTGGGAGACGGAGAGGTCTTGGCTGGTCTCTCTCACCTGGGAGCAGTCCTGGGAGATGGGGAAAAAGTAGTAACTGAAGCTGTCAGCAAACAGCATGGCCTGGAGAAGGGGCAGCAGCTTTTCCTGTGGCTCCAGCCCCCAACCCTAGCTCCCTGTTTTTCAGAACCCTGGTTGCCCTCTCTTCAGGCTACCTCCTCAAACTCTTCTGCTTCCAGACATGCTTCAGAAGAAGAGGTCATGGCTTGGCAAAGACATACATGTGCTGTGCAGCAATGAGAAGGGAGGAAACAACATACATATGTGGGTGCCTCCTGGAACCCAATGCATGCACAAAATGGGATGCTGCTGAAAAGTAAATTGGGATCATTGCATTCACAGAGGTGTGCAGCTCTCGGTTGTATGTTGATTAGCAAGTCCCACAGGTCAGTGTGGTGCAATCCTGGAACATACGGGCTTTAATATTTTGTGTAACATGTACAAATACAGACTTTTATCCCCATACACTTTTGGTAGTGATCTCTGCTACTTGGCAGATTACCTGGGCCCCCTCCTCAGGAAAATTCTGATTGTGCCCCTATTTTGGTCCAAAATCTAACCTTTATAGTGTGACACTTCCTAGGGTTATGAGGAACCTCCCCACCACCTGTCCTTAGCATCAGGAAGTCTTGTCTGTGCCTGCTGTGGATCAGCTGTCTGAAAGCATCAGCCTCTGGCAAGACAAGCCTGACCTTCCAGGCCTAATTCTCTCTGCAAAGGTTAGCAATAGGTAAGCACCAACCACTGAGTCCTCTGAGGGTCCCTCTGGACCGCTCAGCCTGTTCCACAGAACGCACACAGAACTCTCAGATACACTACTCCCAAAGAACAGCACCCTTCCATTTACAAGGTTCAGCTCAGGATCCACCTCTTGGGGAAGTGGAGTAGCGTCTTCACTAGTAAGTGTAGACATGACCATAGTTTATCATCAAAGAATGGCGATTCAAATGATAGAAAGTAAGAATATTGGAAACAAATGGTAAAGCATAAAACAAAATCATAACATGCTTTCTAGAATCTAAACTTAATTAACAAGACACTGCCTAATTTCCTACAATATAGCTTACCCCAAGGACTTTCCCCAGCATTTTCAACCAGTTTGGCTGAGATCCCTTCTCATAAAATCAAGCCCGCTGGCAGCTTGGCCTCACAGATTAAAGGAATAAGGGTATGCCTCCATACCTCTTAAGTATTTCCCCCAAAGTTCATTGTCCTTACTGGCTCACTTCTTCCTCTAAATGTCCTCTCTTTGAAGATTTCACAGTCTTTCATTAGCAGTTGGCTCACACTGTGAATAGATGCTCATTTTGAACCATACAGTCCTTAATTTACACGTAAACAGACAAATAGACACACATTTCTTGCCTGAAAGAAAACGTGCTTTTCACCTTTCTGGTGATCAGCCTCTAGTCACAGACCTTAAGAACATAATTTTCAGTGTATATACATAACTACATATGTTTTGCAATGATTATGATGACCAGTGTGATACAGGCTTTCATTAGAGACCTTACATGACATTCTTTTGATGAACTCCCTGCCAATCAATCTGCCAGCTGGCATCCAGAGGTCCTTGGGTCACACATAGATCATATTTCTAACCCCCAGTGTTGAGAGGAAAACCTTCAGTTACAAATGGAGCAGAAACCAAAGCAGTAATAATGTCTCCCTGAGTCTGCAGACAAGAAAACATCAAAGAGGCATGAACTGACCCATTCACCTCAGCAGAATATTAACTCTGAAGCATAATGGAAACAACTGTCAATATTGTTAACTACTTCACTGCTGTAATTTGGCAGAAGCATCCAGTTAATGGGCACATCTCACAAGCCCGAACTGCGATGCTTGCCAAAAGCTCTATCTCCCATTCAATTGCTAAAACCTCTAGCTTCCCCCATGACAGCTTGTGCAATCCAATTATACACCGTCACTGTAAAAATCTGCACACATACTGAAAACTAAAAATGTAGGGACAGAGCAAACACTCATGAATAAAATAGCCAGTACAATGCAATTTTCCTTTAGTTATTAATGAACTTGGTGGTACACTCAGCAAACTGAAATTAATGCCTATCACCTTAGATATCCTTACCCTTTAGCAACTTAGCAAACGGAAATTAATGTGCTACATAATAGTATTATATTCTCATCAAAACTCAATTTAAAAGATATCTCCACATTTTATAAAATTAAGTATTTGCAAATCAGTATTCAATTATTGAAAAAGGTAGAAACCCAATTCTTCATTGCAAAAACCCCAGTGATAAAGATGATTGGGGTTTGTGGGTATTACAATGATTGAAAGATTAAAAGCACCTTCCTTTATAAAGATGAATTCTTAGATATTTAGGTATCATTCAAAGTTCCAAGACTAAAGAGACTTGTTTCTGTGAAAGTGAGCTGTAATCTTCAGAGTGTGTCAATGTCAAAAATGAGTTAGAAGTGATTTCAGACACCACACA